AGAACTCCCTGAAGCCAGGAACGGAAAAGGGCACCGTTGCAGGCTGGAGAGCGGCGGGGAGGGAAAGAGCAGGGTATGATCCATCTGAAGAGGAAATGGAGAAATGGGAGGCCCTCACTAGGGAGGGGAACAGAGATAAATACAGAAGAAGGAGAACAAAGCAACAGGATGTCTGAAAAAGTCACACGGAATCCTACTATCTACCATCTGCCTAAAAATATCAACAATACATGCATTTCAATATAAACACATACATACATAGTTTAAGTGAAGTTTTCCCATCTGGTCTGGCAATGCTCCAAGAACCAAAGACCATCTAAAAAACCGCCAACACCACCACGAGAAGAAGCCCTCTTGTGGTTTGTTGGTCAGAGCTGCCCAAGAGATTCCCCAAAGCACTACAAGCTGTTTCTATTGGCCATGGTTGCCCCCACAGAGGTGAAAGGTAAGTAACCATTGGTGAAAATACCATGCACTTCAGACCCAGGACCCAATACCCCTGAGCTTGGATAGACCTAAACGCCTCCTTCCTCCATGAGGACTAGCTTTCATTGACTAGAAGGAGCCATGCCAGCTTCTGCAGGAGGGGCTAACCCATCAGTCCTAACCAGCTATAATGCCTATGAGCCACAAAAAAATGACCCCTATAGCATGATTAGAAGCAACCATCAGCTCACTAACAGGGCTTAACACCCATTCAACATCAGGGAAACCATACCTGATCCTGAAAACCTGACTAACTACACAGGTAGGGTTAGTGAAGGCACAGATCTGGAAGGAGAACCTTCAACTGCCATGTTACTGCCCCAACATAATCCCAAGCTGCATTCTAAATATCTGGCCTAATACCACAGGTTAGTATGAGATACCTCATGCTTCACCAAGGAAATGCAGATGGGGAAAGCTTAAACCCTGCATAAGGAGCTGCAGGCAACTAGCAAATGCAGAGAGAAGGAGAGAAAGTCTTCCCCATGGAGGAGGACACCAATCTATTACTCATTTACCATACATACCATACACACAAGCAACATGAACAGGTCGTCTCTACGTGTTTAAGAATAAATAAGTGTTTAAACGTGTGTGTGTGTGTGTGTGTGTGTGTGTGTGTGTGTGTATGTAACAATAACTAATGAAAAAAAGAAACCGTGAATTTGAAAGAAAGTAAGGAGAGGTATATGGGAGGGCTTTGAGGGAGGAAAGGGAAGGGAGAAATGATGTAAAAATATCACAACTAAAAATCACTAAAATATATTGTATTCTGATAAAATAAACCATTCAGCTGGATGGTGTAGGACGATTTGATTAATAACTTATAAAAAGTACATACAATAGTTTAAACTTTAGTTAATATTTCCTATTGGATTCATCGCTTGAGTTATATGCTTTGATACATGTTCAAGAAAAATAGCCGTGACTAATAATGTGTAACATACATGGTAGGCTGATGAAAAATTGATTAAACCCTAGACATATATGTCTTTGTCACCTGTGACAGAAAGGATGAAACAGAGTCTAAGCACAAAATAAATCAGGCGCTTTTATTTTTCTTTCCCGTCTCCTCTCATCCAAAAATATCAATGATATTTATTGTAACAGACTCCAAACTATGGTTCACTATAGCAAGCCTATTAGTGACTGAACTGATTGGTACTAGAAAGATCTTGAAACTTACTGTATCTTCATATATGCAATATTACATGGCAATTCAGAGTTTATTTCCAGCCCTAGCTGTCAGTGTAAGTCACCACGAGTACGCTCCACTCATTGCTGTAAAGCCAGTGACCTCCCATCAGGACCACAGCTGGCACAAGGACATTGATACAACACAGGGCAGTGGCCAGAGGCTCGGGATCAGTGGCATGCCAGTTTGCTGATTGGCTTGTTATAATCAATCACACCTCACTCTAGTCATGTGACTGACTAAGCAGTTGAAGATTTGACCTGGGTTTGTTTTGTTTCGTAGGTTTAATTTTTGAGAACTTGTACATTGGCACCCGCATCTACAACATGCCCATGGCTTCTTCTCCCATCAAAATGCTCCGTGGACCCTTCCCCAACTCATCCCCTCTTCTCTATTATTGCTGCAAATTGTGTTATATTTAATAAAATCAGACGTGCTGTGCTTTAGACTTGCGGTGATTGAATGATCATGGCAGAACACATTCATTTGCCCACTAACTGGAACACCCTACTTGCTTGCTGAAGTTCCTTCTTGCTTGTCTTTGAAACTGTTCTCCTTTTTGAATACCTGGAAGAGTCTAGAGAAAGGAAAGGAAGCAGGGAATGAAGTGATGTAATTCTATTTTGATTAAAACATATTTAAGAAAATAAAAATATATTGAAAATCCACTTTATGAATAGATAGGTCTTGTCTCTTAGCTGATGTTACATACATTTTTACAGTTTCTTCTTTTTTACGATTATGGACTAACAGTGCGATGAACATTTGTGAAGATGCATTTTCATTTCTTTTAACATAAATCTATGGATCATATGATCAGTACATGTAATTTTCGAGGAATTATCGAGCAGTGTTCCAAAGCAGCTGTACCACTGTCTAGTCTCAGTACAGCGCAGAATGGCCCCGGGTTCTGCACATGCTATCTAGCCCTTGCTATGGCCTTTCTCACGGCAGCCCACCTAACTGGTATGAAGTCATGCCTCGCTGTGGCTTTGGGTATCCTGGGTGGCTAAGGGTGTTGAACAGCACCCCATGTGCTTATCTGTGCATTTTCCTTGCAGCAAAGCCTTTTAAGATGCCCCCCCTTTAATATTGGGTTTAATTGTAATAGGTTCTTCATATACTATGGATCCAAATTCTCTTACGAGCTGTATACCTTCCAAACCCCCAACCGTGAGTCCTTCTATTTCTTCTTGACATCCTTTGGAATACAAATACACATTTAAATATTTTGATGAGACTACAATAAGCAAAAGAATAGTTGTGTTATTAAATTTCTCTAGAAAGTGAAAATAGAAAAAATTTCATAATGCATTGATAGTGATGAAATTTTAAAAAGACAATTTTTCCGCAACAAACATTTGAGCATTCAAAAATTTTCTGTTGAAACTTAAATTGGGAGGTTTTCCTAAGATTATTTGGTAATTCATCTCAAAATTGAAAACAGCTTAGATCCTACGTACCCCTTGATCCAACCATACCCCTTCTAGAAATTTCTAAGAAAAAAGTTAAATAACTTTATAATAAATTTTATCACTGTACTGTCTGCATTTCAAAAATAAAACAAAATTAGAGAAAATATAACAATAGTATATTAGCTAAATATATTATGATATATCACACTCAAGACAGAATGTAATAATTATAAAGCATATGGGCCAAGGATCACCAGAAACAACATCATGAGTGAAGAGATTTTCTGACTAATGGCAGTGTGTGTCTTTTTTAGAGAGGTATCTTCAACTGATGCCAAGCTGTGTGTGTGTGCACGTGTGCATGTGCATGCCCATGCATGTGTGTGTCTGTGTGTGCATGTCTCTTTATCTCTATCTGTGTGGTGTGTGTTTGTGTATGTGTGCAGGCATGTGCATGCCCGTGTGTGTGTGTCTGTGTATGTACCTGCGTGTGCACATCTCTTTCTCTTTTTCTGTGTGTGTGTCTATGTGTGTGTGTCTGTGTTTGTGTGTGTGTGTGTGTGTGTGTGTGTGTTTTTAAGGTGAGGAAGGGAAGGTGTCTTGGGGTATTAAAATAACCAAGATTTTAACAAAAGTAATAAATGAAATTTCCTCATTTCTCAAAATTCTATTGCTTACCCAGTTTTGAAAAATATTCAATGTCTAAATAAAATGCATTAATTTTTATTAAGATGCCATGTACACTTACACACAATGTTTAAGGCAACATAATTCAAAATGCTAATTAGTGGCACCTTTTTATTTTTATTTTATATGTCTGTCGGCCTTTACACTTTCATATCAATTATTAATGTTTTATTTTCAGAGGAAAGACAATTCCTTTTTGTGGTGATAAAAGGGGTATGAATCTAGCTAAATATTTAAGAAGAAAATTAAAATCAAAGTCACTGAATAAATACTCTTGTGCGTATAGCCAGGCAGCTATGAGTTCAAATTCATTTTTTCCTTTTGCTAGTTCAGGGATCATGGCTTCTCTTCTATAAATGTCAGTGGTTATACTTACCATTCCTGCCTCAAATTTCATCAATGATATAAAAATAGAATAACTAACATAATGTCTTGCATTGCCGAAAGTTAACAGACAGAAGTGGCTTTCTGTATGGTGGTTCAGGCTATGACGGAGATAGATATTTGTACACGGTAGAAAACGTGGCACATGAATACCAAAGCTTGTGTGCCTCGGTGCATTTCGGTCTATTCAAAGGCAATACTGTCACAAGGGCATCCTCTTGGCAGCTAGAAAGTTCCTTCCTGAACTGTGCCCTACTTCCTCACTAGCAGAGGTCCCCAGGGAATGGATAAAAAGGTGTTGACAACTGCCCGATGAATATCATGGGGACGGAATCCCCAGCATGTTCTCAGGAAGATGGAGATAGAGGCTAAGTTTGAATGGAGCTGAAGGATGAATGGGATGAACTAGGTTTGATCCCCAAAGCAAAGCAAGAAAAATATAAGTATTCTGTGTTTTTGCCACCCAACTTTATTACCTGCAAGGCGTGGATTGATTCAAATAGGATTGGAGACGCCGAGAAAGGTCCAGTTGACTGATCCCATTTCTGCCGGTAGTATTTATCTTTCATCGAACAGAATCACATGGCTCTCCTTCTTTTTCCTCTCACGTCAGGTTAAGTATAACATAGAGCAGAGAGATTCTTTCAGGCGGCCACAGCACTCTTAGAAATTGGTCCTCAGATGAAACCAGCCACCTCCCCCAAGTGCCTGGTTTTAGCCCAGTGAGAAATTTTATCATAACTGGTCCGTGGAAACTGTGTACCTGCTAACATTTTCACGTAACAAGAACTTCGTGTTTTCAATAAATTCGCAAGAAAAGAGAACAAAAAAAATCCATGTTTTGATATCTTTACTCTTTCGGCAATGTGTGACAAGAACATAGTTGTATTAAGAAGTCAGAAATAACACAGTAGCTATAGAGGATGTTCATATTTGCAAAATTTCAACAATTATCTTCTCTAGGCTCCCCCAAATTAGCATATTTGTTAATCAAATTAATTAAGAAGCTTTTCAAAATAAAAGCAATGTTTTAAATAAATATATTCTTTCATAACCATAGAACATCTAGTTCTGTTGGTGGTGATGAATGAACATTACATTTAAGAGGTTTATGAAGACATTAGGGTAAAATAATCTAGATATCATTATAAACGTACCCTTATTAGCCATTTCCTTCTTTGTGAGTTTTACTGTATGCGTTAAGATTATCCATGCATGCCATCGAATTAGTTACCCAACACATCATCATAAAGATGATGTCTGACTTACAGAATTCATGTCCCCTCAACATGACGAAAGGATATTGTTTGCACAATGTTTTTAAATTTAAATTTAGTACCCGATACTCAATCCAATCCTGGCCAAGCACGTGCATCTGCCCACTTCCAGCAAATGAATGCCACACTCCCGCCCTGCAAACCTGGAGATATCACATCTGATTCCATTACTGTCCCATCAACAGTCCCGTTACAACAGACACTGGGTGAGTTTCAGAGTACCGCCTGGTGGCTACCGATTCACTGTGGCCAGCTCTTCTCCCGAAGCCACATGCTTAGTAAACATCTACAGAGACTAAATCCTAAATTTGATTTTATTTACTAAATATTTGAAAGACTTTGCTGAACGAAGACGTGAATTTGTCTGTCCAGAATTCTGATTTGAAAATTGTTTTATCTGCTTTAATTTCTACTGTCGTTTTTAGGTCAATATTTAAGATCTATAAAAACACCCTTGCTTTGATGCGTTTGGCTTTCTTCAATAATAAGCTGTGCTAGAATCTCCAAATTAATTAAATGTCAACGACAGAGCTCAAACTAGCCATAGCGATGGGTTACACTAAGTGCTCAATATTATTTCAGATTATCAACTGTCTCCAGATCATAATGATAAAAGAATAACTTACTAAAACCAATAATGCGACAGAGAATATATTTTAACAGGACTTCTCTCTCTCTCTCTCTCTCTCTCTCTCTCTCTCTCTCTCTCTCTCGCACATGCGCACAGGCAGCCACACATAGGTATACACACACACACACACACGCGCGCACACACACACACACGCACACGCACACACGCACGTGCACACGGGCAGCCACACATAGGTCTACGCACACAGCTCAGCGTTTACAACACTGTTACTAACAGTTTTAGCTTCGATAAATTAACTACAGGAAAATACTGGCACTGTGAAAATATATGTTTATGTACAGCACCCCACGGAGGGCATCATCTCTGTGAACATCTGAAGAATGTAAAAACAAAACGAAAAGGCAAGAAGGAGACAGCGGAGTCCTTGAGGTGCGCATGCGCACTGCCTCGGTCACAGCTTCCCGTTCTCCTCGCTGCTCTCCTTCTCTTCTATGGCTTCCAGGCTGCGCTTGCCCTTGGCCTCGGGGCCAGCGCCAGGGCCTTTACTCAGGCCGCAGGACAAACAGGCCAGCTGGATCTGCTTCATGTTCTCTATAGCCTCGTTCTTGGCATTCTTCAGCAGGTCTCCTTGTCCCTGCAGACAGGTGGACACAGAAAAGAAGAAGGTTAGGGACCGGACCGGGCTCGCGCAGCAACGCTGCTCCGCTTCTTAGGATGCTGACTAAGGATGCAAGAGACCCAGACCTCAGAGGCGCTTCTTTCTCCAGGGTTATAACCGCATTTATTTTCCGCCGTGGTTGAAGGAATTAGCTCTTGGGTTCTAGAACCTCAAACCTCACCTCCCTGCATACTTATCGGCTGCTCCTCGGGATTCCTGTAAGGGAGACTTTGTGTGGACGCACTGAGGCCCTTGAACCTTCCATATTATAGTCGGAGACTTTGCTCACCATTACAGTTCCTGCCTAGCCAGACCAAGATTTCTAGGAGAAGATGAGGAGAGATGTTCTTCCATAAAACTGAAAAACAAACTGGCTTGTCAGATTAAACAGCACAAAGCAAAGCATCCCGTGATGGAACCCACGCATGAATGCAGTCTTGTGCCTGCTGGGCTGGTTTTTAACAGATCGGGTTATCACTGCCAGCTCCTGTTGGTGTCTTGTGACCTACCCACATCCCTTCTGTGCACTTCTGCATACTAGGGGCAATGTTCCCGTCTGGTAACGAACGGACGTTTCTCCAGGCACCGCACGTCCATCAAAATAAAAAGCACAGAGAGATCTCTGGGATATGCTGGCTGCCATTTGCGTCAATGTGTTGGGAGAAAACAGGCCCTATAGTTTTATGCTCGACATGAGTTGTTATTACAGTGTTTAAGTGGATGCTCCGACATCGGCTCAGGGCCCGAAGGGCTACGGAAGTGTGCAGAAGAGGGAGTGTGTTTCTCTGGTGCACAGACCAAAGAGGAAGTAACCTCCTCCTTCTCCTCCCTTTCCCACAGCAGCTAGGCCAGCATGACCCTGGAATGGTAAGGGATGATACGGGAGGATGTGGGAGCAGTAATGACTGCCGGAACATTCTATAAACCTCGGGCTCACTCAGAGAGGGGACAATAGCCTATTAGACCAAGCAATTCACGATATAATGCAACCTTTCTTTAATGTTATGAATGTCATTTTCTTAAAGCGTATAGACTACCTGCTAAGAAAATGTCTTAGAATGTTTATTTTCTCAAAATCCATACAATCAGTCACTGATTCTAACTGTTGTAGAGACAGTTAGGTCCCCCCCTCACCTCTCATATGAACTGCCTGCCCTGTGAGTACTGTTTGTGTTAAAATGGACTGTCTTCAGTTGCCCAAACCACGGTCTAGGGTTTTAGAAGCAAGCTCAGAGGCTGTAGAGATGAAGTCTCCGTGTGAGGAAAAGGGAGTTTGAACGTGGTGAGCTTCCATGCAGGCCCAAGGTCACAGCCACCAAAGGGTAGAGATGGTCTAAAGTCTTGTCTTTCCCTCTAGGCCCCGTGCCCCTTCCCACACAGTCAGAGACGTATTCCCTGAGGGGAAAATATTCACAACATTTCTGGAACTGGATAATTCTCTTAACAGAAGGATGGATCGAAGCACCCCTGCCCCCAGACCCTGAATATTGAAGCCACTTATAAAACCGATAAAATGCAATTATTAGGTAAAGATAACAGAACACAGAAAGGGCCTGTTCTGTGCAGAGAATATTCTGTTCTGAGCAGAATCATTCAGTTGTCACACACTCCAGGTGACAGCTATTTTCATGAACCCCAGTTTACCTATTATAAAACAGCGCCAGAGGGACCACCTTTTCCAGAGTCACGTAGCCGCTCGGTGGTGGATCTACAGCTTGTTCAAGGGTCTGTGGTCGTCGCCACTACAAGGTATGGCCTCTTTCGAGTGCAAATCATACACTCTTTGATTCACACGGTCACACAGTGAAGCCACCTGTTCATTGTTAGCCAAGCCACAGCAGAGACAGAAGAACATGACTTCCCATGGGACACTAACAGAATCTACAGAAGGGACAAGGGGCCAGGGATGCAGGATACAGCGAGAAGACCCAGGCGCTGGCCCTGTCCGAGAGCCTCCCACCAAATGCACTGCAGACTTTGATTCCGTATGAAGGTACTGAGAATGACTTGGGGCCTTCCTCGCAGTGCTCGAAGATTGAAGGACCCAGGCTGAAAAGCTGTTTGCGATTTAATGACCACCAATAAACTGCTATAAAATGATCTGAAAAGCAGTTAAGCTCCCCTATGGCCACCATAAGTAACTTGCAACTCTCTTGCAACAGAGACTTGAGGGGCATACTTAAAATGCACCTGCAAGGGTCTGTTTTGCAAGGCTGTATATATCGCTAACGTTTTTTAAAACTGGAAAAAATCCCTCTATAAACACGCTTTATTAATGATGTGCCTACACGTGAGATCATTTCCAGTTTTACTTACAAACCTTTAGACTCAGACTTGAAATGATCGTCAAACATTTTTAAAGCAAGCTGGCATAGTTCACAGTCGTAAGAGAAAAATGAAGCACACGCAGCTATCGGTCTCGGTGGCACGGATGCCAAGCACACTCTCACGGACATTCCCACAGCAGGTTAAGACGCGCAGTTTAATCAGCCCACTGCCAGAGCATCAGTTCTGGGCAGTGGCATCCAAGCCTAAAGGCCAGTCTGTGCCAGCTCTGGTGAACAGAAGCCAGTCTCTCTAGAAAACAATGGCCATTCGGAGAAAACAGTTTGTACCAGTGGACAAGAACAGACCCACATCAGCTCCCGACAGCCCAGGCGATGACAGGCACTGGCAGAAGAAAACAAACGATTATTAAATGACTAACTATTGAAGGGGGGGAGTGAAAGTCTATGAAGATCTGACATAGGAAGTTTGGGTTTCATTGTTTCAAGAAGCTAGGATTTAGGGTTACTCTTCTGGGGCTCAAGGAACCACACACTGACTTTTTCCCTTTGGATCTTCCCATGTGAGACACCGAAGCCAGAAGAGAAATTCAGTTTCTTATTCTAGAAAATTGTACAGAACTGATGTGTCTTGCTAAGGACCCCCATTCAGGCAAGTCTCCTAGGTGATTCTCCCTTTTAGGGCTCAACAATTTCCCCTAACCAGCTGGCCCTTTCTCCACCCTGTCACAAACACCAACCCACTCAGACCAGATCTCCTTCCTTCCAACATCTCTGTCCTTGGAGCATCTCCCCCAAACTGTCCTCAGGCAAAAGAGTCTTGTAGAGTACATAGTTAAGGCACAACCAATAAGGCATTTAAAAGAATGTTTTGATTCTATTCTCAAAAGCCAGACAGGGCTTTTAGAGAAAGAAGAGAAAGTGAAGTCCAGAGAATTTATTTTCCTAGTGTCTTATAAATCGAAATGCTTCCTGTTACACTAAAATTAGCTGGGATTGTCACGGCATAGGATGCAAAATTAAGGCACCGTTCGACCACAGAATGCTCAACTTGGAAGAAATGTCAAGCTGCCACTCCTTTTTCTGTAGAAAGGTGGTGAGAATTCGCAGCTCAGAGGGAGGAAGGAAGCCGCTTTAGTCCAAAGGAGCGTAAGAGCAGCGTGGGGTACTCCAGCATGCTGCCGCTGACGGGGCACAGAGAACAGTTGTGAGAGGCGCTCACATCTCACCTTCATGCCTATTTGGCTTCTGAATATAAGGTTGCATAGCAAGTCCAACATCCCAAGAAAGTCACAGTTAGAAACATGGGCAATCCTAACAGATCATGATAAGAAGTTGAAGCTAAAAACCAATGACAGGTAATGCATATCGAGAAACAAAATTAAACATTCCTTGTCAAGTACCTTTAACTATACTAATTGCAATTCAAGTACATTGCCTATAAACAAGGAAATACCCAGCATGATTTGGACTGTAGACACGGCTACTGTATCACAACATTTCCACTTTGAGTGATTGTAACAATGTTAGTCCTTAGGATGTCTTCCTGCTCTCTCTTATACACCAATATAAACTTGGGATTCATAAAGCTGATGAGTGTCAGTAAAAATTCTATCAGGACAATATATAGTAGCCAATAGGACTTGAAAACTGAGTATACAAAGCATGACATGATGTGTCTTGAATCTCATGATACTGCATGTATCAAGGTAACCAGAATTCTAACTACAAATCATCAGCTAGTCTGTGTTTTGTAGTCTATCAGAAGATACTTAAGAATCTTGTTTTTCCTACTTCTCTTACCAAAAATTCAGTCTCCCCCAATGCTTGAGGATTCGTTTTAGCTGTAATCTGGCAGCGTCGCTATCGGGAGGCATGCGTGGCTCGCTCACGCCCACCTTTCCCATGAACTGCACCTCCCTGGTGGTGCCAGTTCACGAGCGCCAAGGAAGAGAGGGTGTCCAGTGCCTCTGCCACGTGGGAAGGCAATGTGCGTGCTGTCCCAGAGTGCACCACAAATATGTAAAGCAGCTAACTGGAACTCTGGGGATTGAAAGAGCCTTCCACGTATACAGCCACGCACGTAAACAATGGCGCTCACCTCTGAGCTGTGTGGGTTTAGGACTGAAATGGTTGTGCTGTGCAATTATTACCTCCCCATATTCTAGCTCTCATATTCCTTCTGCCCAATATTTCCCAGTGTCCTTTGAGCCTTAGCCTATCATATTTAGGGCTGAATCCTCAGCAACCCTTTATTCTCAGTGTCTTGGATAGCAGCAGTCTCCATATTTATTATCATTCGCGGAAAAGAGCAGACTCTCTGGTTAGGGCTGAATGCACAAGGATGACCCCAGTTAAGAATCTCAGCAATAGTGGAGAGGGTGCCTGAGCTGGCCTTCCCCTGCGATCAGATTGATGACTACCTTAATTGTCATCATAGAACCTTCATCCAGGAACTGATGGAAGTAGATACAGGGATTCACAGCTCAGCACTGGGCCAAACTCCCAGAGTCCAGTCAGAGGGAGGAAGAAGCAATAATACGAACAAAGGGGTCAAGACCATGATGGGCAAACCCACAGAAACAGCTGATGCAAGCTAGTGGGAGCTCACTGACTCTGGACTGACGGCTGGGGAAGGTGCAAAGGACCAAACTTGGCCCTCTGAATGTGGGTGACAGTTGTATGGCTCGG